ACTTGCCCACCAATGAGTGCAGTACGTGCCCACCAATGAGTGAAATACGTGCACACCAATGAGTGCAGTACGTGCCCACCAATGAGTGCAGTACGTGCCCACCAATGAGTGCAGTACGTGCCCACCAATGAGTGCAGTGCGTGCCCACCAATGAGTGCAGTACGTGCCCACCAATGAGTGCAGTACGTGCCCACCAATGAGTGCAGTACGTGTCCACCAATGAGTGCAGTACGTGCCCACCAATGAGTGCAGTACGTGCCCACCAATGAGTGCAGTACGTGCCCACCAATGAGTGCAGTACGTGCCCACCAATGAGTGCAGTACGTGCCCACCAATGAGTGCAGTACGTGTCCACCAATGAGTGCAGTACGTGCCCACCAATGAGTGCAGTACGTGTCCACCAATGAGTGCAGTACTTGCCCACCAATGAGTGCAGTACGTGCTCACCAATGAGTGCAGTACTTGCCCACCAATGAGTGCAGTACGTGCCCACCAATGAGTGCAGTAAGTGTCCACCAATGAGTGCAATACGTGCCCACCAATGAGTGCAGTACGTGCCCACCAATGAGTGCAGTGCGTGCCCACCAATGAGTGCAGTACGTGCCCACCAATGAGTGCAGTAAGTGTCCACCAATGAGTGCAATACGTGCCCACCAATGAGTGCAGTACGTGCCCACCAATGAGTGCAGTACGTGCCCACCAATGAGTGCAGTACGTGCCCACCAATGAGTGCAGTACGTGCCCACCAATGAGTGCAGTACGTGTCCACCAATGAGTGCAGTACGTGCCCACCAATGAGTGCAGTACGTGTCCACCAATGAGTGCAGTACTTGCCCACCAATGAGTGCAGTACGTGCTCACCAATGAGTGCAGTACTTGCCCACCAATGAGTGCAGTACGTGCCCACCAATGAGTGCAGTAAGTGTCCACCAATGAGTGCAATACGTGCCCACCAATGAGTGCAGTACGTGCCCACCAATGAGTGCAGTGTGTGCCCACCAATGAGTGCAGTACGTGCCCACCAATGAGTGCAGTACGTGCCCACCAATGAGTGCAGTACGTGTCCACCAATGAGTGCAATACGTGCCCACCAATGAGTGCAGTGCGTGCCCACCAATGAGTGAAATACGTGCCCACCAATGAGTGCAATACGTGCCCACCAATGAGTGCAGTACGTGCCCACCAATGAGTGCAGTGCGTGTCCACCAATGAGTGCAGTACGTGCCCACCAATGAGTGCAGTACGTGCCCACCAATGAGTGCAGTACGTGCCCACCAATGAGTGAAATACGTGCCCACCAATGAGTGCAGTACGTGCCCACCAATGACTGCAGTACATGCCCACCAATGAGTGCAGTACGTGCCCACCAATGAGTGCAGTACGTGCCCACCAATGACTGCAGTACATGCCCACCAATGAGTGCAGTACGTGCCCACCAGTGAGTGCAATACGTGCCCACCAGTGAGTGCAGTACATGCCCACCAATGAGTGCAGTACGTGCCCACCAGTGAGTGCAGTACATGCCCACCAATGAGTGCAGTACGTGCCCACCAGTGAGTGCAATACGTGCCCACCAGTGAGTGCAGTACGTGTCCACCAATGAGTGCAGTACGTGCCCACCAATGAGTGAAATACGTGCACACCAATGAGTGCAGTAGTGCCCACCAATGAGTGCAGTACGTGTCCACCAATGAGTGCAGTACGTGCCCACCAATGAGTGAAATACGTGCCCACCAATGAGTGCAGTACGTGCCCACCAATGAGTGCAGTACGTGCCCACCAATGAGTGCAGTACTTGCCCACCAATGAGTGCAGTACGTGCCCACCAATGAGTGCAGTACGTGCCCACCAATGAGTGCAGTACTTGCCCACCAATGAGTGCAGTACGTGCCCACCAATGAGTGCAGTACGTGCCCACCAATGAGTGCAGTACTTGCCCACCAATGAGTGCAGTACGTGCCCACCAATGAGTGAAATACGTGCACACCAATGAGTGCAGTACGTGCCCACCAATGAGTGCAGTACGTGTCCACCAATGAGTGCAATACGTGCCCACCAATGAGTGCAGTGCGTGCCCACCAATGAGTGCAGTACGTGCCCACCAATGAGTGCAGTACGTGCCCACCAATGAGTGCAGTACGTGTCCACCAATGAGTGCAGTACGTGCCCACCAATGAGTGCAGTACGTGCCCACCAATGAGTGCAGTACGTGCCCACCAATGAGTGCAGTACGTGCCCACCAATGAGTGCAGTACGTGTCCACCAATGAGTGCAGTACGTGCCCACCAATGAGTGCAGTACGTGTCCACCAATGAGTGCAGTACTTGCCCACCAATGAGTGCAGTACGTGCTCACCAATGAGTGCAGTACTTGCCCACCAATGAGTGCAGTACGTGCCCACCAATGAGTGCAGTAAGTGTCCACCAATGAGTGCAATACGTGCCCACCAATGAGTGCAGTACGTGCCCACCAATGAGTGCAGTGCGTGCCCACCAATGAGTGCAGTACGTGCCCACCAATGAGTGCAGTAAGTGTCCACCAATGAGTGCAATACGTGCCCACCAATGAGTGCAGTACGTGCCCACCAATGAGTGCAGTACGTGCCCACCAATGAGTGCAGTACGTGCCCACCAATGAGTGCAGTACGTGCCCACCAATGAGTGCAGTACGTGTCCACCAATGAGTGCAGTACTTGCCCACCAATGAGTGCAGTACGTGCTCACCAATGAGTGCAGTACTTGCCCACCAATGAGTGCAGTACGTGCCCACCAATGAGTGCAGTAAGTGTCCACCAATGAGTGCAATACGTGCCCACCAATGAGTGCAGTACGTGCCCACCAATGAGTGCAGTGTGTGCCCACCAATGAGTGCAGTACGTGCCCACCAATGAGTGCAGTACGTGCCCACCAATGAGTGCAGTACGTGTCCACCAATGAGTGCAATACGTGCCCACCAATGAGTGCAGTGCGTGCCCACCAATGAGTGAAATACGTGCCCACCAATGAGTGCAGTACGTGTCCACCAATGAGTGCAATACGTGCCCACCAATGAGTGCAGTACGTGCCCACCAATGAGTGCAGTGCGTGTCCACCAATGAGTGCAGTACGTGCCCACCAATGAGTGCAGTACGTGCCCACCAATGAGTGCAGTACGTGCCCACCAATGAGTGAAATACGTGCCCACCAATGAGTGCAGTACGTGCCCACCAATGACTGCAGTACATGCCCACCAATGAGTGCAGTACGTGCCCACCAATGAGTGCAGTACGTGCCCACCAATGACTGCAGTACATGCCCACCAATGAGTGCAGTACGTGCCCACCAGTGAGTGCAATACGTGCCCACCAGTGAGTGCAGTACATGCCCACCAATGAGTGCAGTACGTGCCCACCAGTGAGTGCAATACGTGCCCACCAGTGAGTGCAGTACATGCCCACCAATGAGTGCAGTACGTGCCCACCAGTGAGTGCAGTACATGCCCACCAATGAGTGCAGTACATGCCCACCAATAAGTGCAGTACGTGCCCACCAGTGAGTGCAATACGTGCCCACCAGTGAGTGCAGTACATGCCCACCAATGAGTGCAGTACGTGCCCACCAGTGAGTGCAGTACATGCCCACCAATGAGTGCAGTACATGCCCACCAATAAGTGCAGTACGTGCCCACCAATGAGTGCAATACGTGCCCACCAGTGAGTGCAGTACGTGCCCACCAATGAGTGCAGTACATGCCCACCAATGAGTGCAGTACGTGCCCACCAGTGAGTGCAGTACATGCCCACCAATGAGTGCAGTACGTGCCCACCAGTGAGTGCAGTACGTGCCCACCAATGAGTGCAGTACGTGCCCACCAATGACTGCAGTACATGCCCACCAATGAGTGCAATACGTGCCCACCAATGAGTGCAGTACGTGCCCACCAATGAGTGCAGTACGTGCCCACCAGTGAGTGCAGTACGTGCCCACCAATGAGTGCAATACGTGCCCACCAATGAGTGCAGTACGTGCCCACCAATGAGTGCAGTACGTGCCCACCAGTGAGTGCAGTACGTGCCCACCAATGAGTGCAGTACGTGCCCACCAATGACTGCAGTACATGCCCACCAATGGGTGTAAGTTGCCTTGTGTCAATGTTATAATTATTGTAGGTAGTCCAAAGTAACTATATTTTGCAACCCTCTAACGTGATTCTTTTGTTTTAATGCATCAGTATGTTAAAATATTATTTGTACTTTCCGTCACTTCAGAGTTCCTACTGGCGGTGCGAATGCAATCAGGAAAATTTTCCTACGGGAACCATTAGTTCTCTGGGAACCATCCTGGTGGCTCGTTCCTATGACTGAGTTCCTAGCACTACCCGGTGCGAAAGCCCCTTTTGTTTGTCACTTACCCTTCCAGGACCTTTCACTCACACTTGATTATAACACGGTGGATTGAATATACACTATTAACACAAGGCCTTTCCACAGGATTGTTTTATGGTATGGAAGCAACAGACTCTATTCTTTTAACAGTCTAAGGACTCTTTATATATATATATATATATATATATATATATATATATATATATATATATATATATATATATATATATATTGTGGTCTTTTAGTCATTTGTGTGTCAATACATCTGTTATTTTTCTATCTGTTGTTTTATTGTCTTCATTGTTTACACCCAACATGCAAGTACTGAAAACAATTCCCCTTTTAATTGTGTTAAGAGTGTTACAAGGTTATCCGCTTACTTACCCTTAAACATACCCGGGTCTGTCACATAACCTGCTTTCTGGAATACCACCCTGTTCCAGAGTGTTTGTTATTTTTGATCTATTGTTAATTAAAGTTGACTGCTGCAAATAGGGTTAATTCTTCTACTCTCCCTTCTTGCAACCAACTATGACAGGTTAGCTAAAATGACTCAACTAAGAGAGTAGTCAACATTTTATTACAAGAGTTTGCAGATTGTATTCAGCCTTAACCTTGATTTTTGACATATTCTTACCGAGAACGAAAATATTTTCCCTCAAACCTTGGCCGATAGAGGTGGGTGTACCGTGAGGGACTCCTCATTCTCTGGATGTGTCTTTTCTTGTTCTGAAAAATATAAAAATACTGTTTTAAATGACATTCATAAATGCAACTGATAATCATCAATTGAAGAATGTTAGTTTAACAAATGTAGCCTTAGTTAATAACTTGACAATTCAAAACTCCAGACAAGATTTCCAATATCATCGTATGTTTGTAATAGTTGCTGGAAAAAACAAATAAGCACGTTAAAAACACATTAGGGTTATGCAATAATATTTTAATCTTATCTTTAATTTTTAATCTTTAATCAGTATTTTATTACTGTGAAAAATAATTATATTCTTTGTTTAATGCTAATAATAAATTTAAAAAGATTGATTGAACTAAAAACTGTCTGTCCTTGCAAAGATAATATGGCTGTATAAGAATATTTTTATGTTTAGCCATTTTCCTTCCACATTTTTGTAACGTGAGATGTATCACACATGAATACATTATATAGAAAAAGTCATGTTGCAAAAAAAACAAAAACTTTTGAATGCAGATCCACAATGTATGAGATGAGAATAAAATAAATAAATTAGAGGAAAATAAACAATAAACAACAATAAACAAACAAAAACAACAATAACATATATATAATGCAAAATCTGTCAGGCCCACTGAGCCTCATCAATAGGGCAAGCTTGCACTGAATACTCGAAGTAAACTAACCCTGGAACTCGAGCTGGAACAGGTTATGTTCAGAGAGTAAGTTGCTATGATTACTCGCATACCCTGAAACTTTCCTCATACTTTTGGAACCGAGAGTTGAGGTTCATAGGGTTCACTCACTCGGTTAGTTCTATGGGGAAAACTACTGTTTTCTCAGAATCCCGAAGCCAGATTGGTTCACGTCTGTGTTTTTCACAGACAAATGGCATTTCAGCCCGCTGAAAGCCTTGGCTATCTATAAGGCCATGCAGAAATGCCCAATCATCCAAATCTTTCTTCTTCAGCGTGAAGATCATCTCGCTGCTCCAAAGAAGACTGAAGCCTCTCTCTCTCTGCAAGCAAGCTGATTTAGCGTCTCCCCTGCGGACATCCAGCAGCTAAATTAAAGAGCAAATTTGAGCAAATTTTCAACGACGTTGTTGCAAATGTCGTGTCATGAAATTTGGCCCGTGCAAGGCTCACCTGCCCCCTCTAGATGAGAATACCCAGCGTGCCTATCGCCTGTCCGACACGAGCTTGCATCCGCCTCACTGCTTCTTCCTTCCCTCGAACCGGCCATTCCCTCATCACAACCCTCTCCATCTCATAACCCTCTCCATCTCATAACCCTCTCCATCTCATAACCCTCTCCATCTCATAACCCTCTACAACAGAGGCCAAAGAAGGGGAGCCACCGGTAAGGTAGCCTACATACAGTAAGGGAGGTATTGGCAAAATTTCACCTGTAGTAACTTACTAATTGGAACCTACTACAAGCTTTGAAATTTGACCATGTCTGTTTTAAAATTTTTTCACAAGTTTTAAAGGTAATTTTAATTAATACAAATAACACGTTTTAACGCAATTGGTTGAGTTTGTAGACGTTCCCTTAGGCATCGCGCGCCGTGGCAGCGCGTCAAAGCATTCTCATGTATAAATATGCAGCTATAATGCACGTAAGGTTATTTTGAATGAATATTTAATGTCGATACACAGGTTACAATCTTTGTATTGATTTGTATTCTTTGTAAGACTGTCGACTTTGTAGAACAGTGCAAGGGAAAACGAATGTCCGGCGAATATCGAACCTGAAACTAACTTTACCGCGCTCCTAAAGCGAAATATGTATTACTCTTTGTCATCCTAACACCATATACCGAGAATATCAATATCAATATCAATGGTTCCGGCCATGGTCATATTTGTTGTGCATAGGAAGATGAACTAAACAGGAAGGTATAACTGAAGTGACGGATGTTCAAACATATCATCAAAACGCACTCGCAATAAAAAACAGTTGAAGTAGCCCAACTTCTAAAACATTACCTAACGTCCTGTTTCTCTTAGACGTCGTTACTGGGTCTCTATATTTAATATTGAATATGCAGTTACATTCTGAACGCTAGAACGAGTAACTGCAACAGAGCTTGTAATGATGGTGTTGTTGCTGATGTTCAGGTGCGAAATGAATCATTCATACCGTTTTACTGCAATGAACGGGATCTCCTGAACGCCTGTCCATCCTGTCCGACGTTTTCCAGTTTATTTGATCGATTATTGTGTTTTCTTAACAAGAACACGAGCTCCGCCAAAATATTTTCCAACTCGACTTTCACTTTCACTTTCTATTTGTGTTGTCGCTGCTGCTGTCAGAAGTCAGTTGCTTTGTGTTGAAGTCTGACATGCTCTTCATTTCTCTTCCAGTGCAAACACGTCTTTTGTGGCAGCTTGTTTGTGCTTTAAAATAAAGTTCAAAAATAATTAAAAGCATGTAAAAGCTTCCACCACAGACAGGGTTCTTAAAAACAGGAAATACAGGGGGGATTTATTTATTTATTTATTCGTAATTATAAATAGAGTAATCACATACACTAAATGGTTCATTCCCTTGTTCCATTGAGATTAATACAAAATGTTTTATTAAGGTCGTTTTTTTAGGTTTTTTTACTAATTCTAAATTTATAGTATGAATGCGTTGAAAGGGTTGAAAGGATTGTTCAATCCAATTTGATGGAATTTTATTGATGACCCATTTTTTTGGGTGTATATATTTTATTTATGTCATGAAGTCCCCTGTTACAAATATTCAGTTGTGTTTTTTTTTTTTTTTTTTTGGATGGGACAGTGCATATTGATGAATTACAATATAAATTGACGTAAATATGCCGGATTTAGCACAATGCTAATTTCCATCCGTAGTCCCAGACAGAAAAAAAAACTACATAACTAACAAACATATAGAGCTAAAAAAAAAGAAATAAATAAAAAGTACCTATACTATATAAGGTACTTGATATAATAATTATTTAAAGTGCATATTTTAAAATGCCTGTGCATACATCCCAAAATGCTTGTTATAAATATATAAATCTACCTATCTGAAAGTGCCTGTGCACAGTTCTTAGCTAATGTTCACAGTTCTTAGCTAATGTTCACAGTTCTTACCTAATGTTCACAGTTCTTAGCTAATGTTCACAGTTCTTAGCTAATGTTCACAGTTCTTAGCTAATGTTCACAGTTCTTAGCTAATGTTCACAGTTCTTAGCTAATGTTCACAGTTCTTAGCTAATGTTCACAGTTCTTAGCTAATGTTCACAGTTCTTAGCTAATGTTCACAGTTCTTAGCTAATGTTCACAGTTCTTAGCTAATGTTCACAGTTCTTAGCTAATGTTTACAGTTCTTAGCTAATGTTTACAGTTCTTAGCTAATGTTTACAGTTCTTAACTAAAGTTCACAGTTCTTAGCTAATGTTCACAGTTCTTAGCTAATGTTCACAGTTCTTAGCTAATGTTTACAGTTCTTAGCTAATGTTCACAGTTCTTAGCTAATGTTCACAGTTCTTAGCTAATGTTTACAGTTCTTAGCTAATGTTTACAGTTCTTAGCTAATGTTCACAGTTCTTAGCTAATGTGCACAGTTCTTAGCTAATGTGCACAGTTCTTAGCTAATGTTCCCAGTTCTTAGCTAATGTTCACAGTTCTTACCTAATGTTTACAGTTCTTAGCTAATGTTCACAGTTCTTAGCTAATGTTTACAGTTCTTAGCTAATGTTCACAGTTCTTAGCTAATGTTCACAGTTCTTACCTAATGTTCACAGTTCACAGTTCTTAGCTAATGTTCACAGTTCTTAGCTAATGTTCACAGTTCTTTGCTAATGTTCACAGTTCTTAGCTAATGTTCACAGTTCTTAGCTAATGTTTACAGTTCTTAGCTAATGTTCACAGTTCTTAGCTAATGTGCACAGTTCTTAGCTAATGTTCACAGTTCTTAGCTAATGTTTACAGTTCTTAGCTAATGTTCACAGTTCTTAGCTAATGTTCACAGTTCTTACCTAATGTTCACAGTTCACAGTTCTTAGCTAATGTTCACAGTTCTTAGCTAATGTTCACAGTTCTTTGCTAATGTTCACAGTTCTTTGCTAATGTTCACAGTTCGTAGCTAATGTTCACAGTTCTTACCTAATGTTCACAGTTCTTACCTAATGTTCACAGTTCTTAGCTAATGTTCACAGTTCTTACCTAATGTTCACAGTTCTTTGCTAATGTTCACAGTTCTTAGCTAATGTTCACAGTTCTTACCTAATGTTCACAGTTCTTACCTAATGTTCACAGTTCTTAGCTAATGTTCACAGTTCTTAGCTAATGTTCACAGTTCTTTGCTAATGTTCACAGTTCACAGTTCTTAGCTAATGTTCACAGTTCTTAGCTAATGTTCACAGTTCTTTGCTAATGTTCACAGTTCTTTGCTAATGTTCACAGTTCGTAGCTAATGTTCACAGTTCTTACCTAATGTTCACAGTTCTTACCTAATGTTCACAGTTCTTAGCTAATGTTCACAGTTCTTACCTAATGTTCACAGTTCTTTGCTAATGTTCACAGTTCTTAGCTAATGTTCACAGTTCTTACCTAATGTTCACAGTTCTTACCTAATGTTCACAGTTCTTAGCTAATGTTCACAGTTCTTTGCTAATGTTCACAGTTCTTAGCTAATCTTCACAGTTCTTACCTAATGTTCACAGTTCTTACCTAATGTTCACAGTTCTTACCTAATGTTCACAGTTCACAGTTCTTAGCTAATGTTCACAGTTCTTACCTAATGTTCACAGTTCTTAGCTAATGTTCACAGTTCTTACCTAATGTTCACAGTTCACAGTTCTTAGCTAATGTTCACAGTTCTTACCTAATGTTCACAGTTCTTAGCTAATGTTCACAGTTCTTAGCTAATGTTCACAGTTCTTAGCTAATGTTCACAGTTCTTACCTAATGTTCACAGTTCTTAGCTAATGTTCACAGTTCTTAGCTAATGTTCACAGTTCTTACCTAATGTTCACAGTTCTTACCTAATGTTCACAGTTCACAGTTCTTAGCTAATGTTCACAGTTCTTAGCTAATGTTCACAGTTCTTAGCTAATGTTCACAGTTCTTACCTAATGTTCACAGTTCTTAGCTAATGTTCACAGTTCTTAGCTAATGTTCACAGTTCTTAGCTAATGTTCACAGTTCTTACCTAATGTTCACAGTTCTTAGCTAATGTTCACAGTTCCCTTTCGAGGGAACTCTCGATGCGTCACTTGACGCCTTGGGAACGCCCCCAGCGTGCATGCGTCTGAGCATCAATGTCAACTAGTCCAATGGAAAGAATGAGCGTCACGGGCGGGTGACGTCATGACCAGGAAGGGATAAAGGCTCACCCGGTGAAACGCGGCATTAGCTTCTACGTCTCAGCAAGCGATCTGTGTCATTTTGTCTCTGTCTATTTACTGTTGTCTGTTGCGGAAAAGGATGGAAACTAAACAAGTGTACAAACAGTGTGCTTCTCCCTGCCCGCGTTATTTAACGGGTGGGGATACACACGAGCTTTGTGTCGTTTGTTTGGGAGTGGAGCATGCGGTCTCAGCCTTCGAGGGGGCTGAGTGCCAGCATTGTGAGATGTTACCGCTTCGCATGCTCCGCTCTCGCCTGTCACTCTTTGATAAAGAGAGTGGGCAGGCTCGCGATCCACAGGGATCAGGACCCGCGTCTGCTGAGGCAGCGCGGAGAATGCATTCCTGGGGATCGCAAAAGGATCTTTCGGAGGGGTTGGAGACGGGTCCGAGGGCTCTTTCTCCTTCCTTACCCGAGAGATCCAGTGCTCTCTCCCCGGTGTCGGAAGCACGCTCTGCGGTTTCTTCTGCCCGGGGAGAGAGCCCTCCATTACTTTATTGCTCTTCCTCCGAGGAGGTTGATGCGATGAGTGTGGAGAATGTAAGCACACACATGGGGGAAAGAGATTCACAATTTATTTCCCCAGCATATGATGAGCTGGTGGATGTTATGTCGCGGGCTGTAGAGAAATTAAATATTGAATGGCCATCTGAGAAGAAGGGCGCTCGTCCTAAAAGCAAATTAGATGAGCGCTTTTTATCTTCCACCACATTATCTCCACCACGAGGGCTTCCATTTTTTCCCGATTTGCACAATGAAATTTCTAAATCGTGGAATAAACCATATTCATCACGTCTTTTCAGCCCTCATGTTAACACTTATTCGAGAATAAGAGGGCTGAAAGAGTATGGTTATGAGGCGATGCCCCAGGCGGAAGAGAATTTAGCCAGTTATCTTTCCCCTGGTCCCGCATCGTCTCTGAAAGCCTCGGCTTTGCCCACTAGACCGCTTAAAGCCACTTCGGTGTTAGTGGGCAAAGCTTATACGGCAGCAGGTCAAGCTGGAGCATGTCTGCATACTATGGCAGTGCTCCAGGCTTATCAAGCTGACCTGCTGGGGGATCTGGATAGTAGTGAGGGAGTCAGTCATGACGATATTCGTGAACTTCGTCGGGCTACCGATCTTTCTCTCAGGGCTACTAAGGAGACCGCCAGAGCAATTGGGCGGTCTATGGCAGCCTTGGTAGCTACTGAGAGACATTTATGGTTAAATCTGTCTGAAATTAAAGAAAAAGATCGAGCTTTTTTATTAGATGCTCCGCTTGAACCTTCTGGTCTCTTCGGCGACGCAGTCCACGCGGTCGTCGAGAGATTTCAAGAGTCAAAGAAACAAGCGGACGTTTTTAAAAAGTTTATCCCTCGCCGGGTCCAGCCCCCTGGGACTGCTGGGCGTGAGCAGCCCCAGCCGTCGAGCTCATCATATCGTGTGCATCAGAAAGAGAGTGTTGCGTCTCGTGCACCTCCACGTAGAGACTGGAGACGGACGCAACCCTCTCAACCGAAGTCTTCTAAGTCGAAGCCGGATCTGAGGACCGTTCTTCAGGCGAAGAAGACTTCGGTTCAAAAAAAAAAAAAAAAGGTCCTGATGTTCATGCATCAGGCCTGTGAGGACAGCCCCAACCGAAGTGGAGCGGTGTACACCTCATTATACGGTGCCCGTTCCATTTCGGGGTCCTCACGAGACCGTTCTGCCAACCCTGCCACCCTTGGTGCTTCAGGGCGCAGCGGTCTCCAGCGAGTCGCTGATGCTATGCTGCGGCACAGCATCGGTTTCGCGCCCTCTGAGGGGGGCCTTAGAGCGGCCAGTTCAGGTAGTTCCTGCCATTATGTTTCAGGCTCCGGAATTGGCTGTCTCGATAACACCAGAGACCAGCCTCGAGAGGCTGGTTCCCTTAGTAAATTTTCTGGCAGCGTGGAAGCTTCTGCCGAATATTTCTCATTGGG